TAGGAAGGCTACATATTGGGTCGTGACGCCACTGCTGTTGTTGTTCCGCACGTTCCCATTCTCCCCCTCCCCCCCCCCCTGTTCCTTCCTGGAACACAACGCAGGCCCGGGCACTACGATGTCCTCTACCCGATGACCAACCAATGATTGGGAGCCCATCCTGGTGTGCCGAAAATTTAATTTCTTTATTGTTGCCACCGTAGACAAGGCGGCACCCCCAACGCACGGCAGGACGGTATTATTTCTTTTGACACAGTTTTCAATACGACAAGCAGGAAGGGTGGGGGGTCGGGGGTTAAGGGACGATGGGAATCGATCGCACTTTCTTGATCGTGGGGAGAGCATGCGCACCCCTTCACGGACCTTGGAAAAAATCCCAGTAGTGTTGGGACAGACAGCAACAGACGAGGCCGGGAAGAGAGGCCACCACTCGACTGACTGGTACTTTTAGTTGTTGTTTTTTTCATGTTAATCCCCCGGGTCAACGTAGGAGTAGACCGGGTTGAGCCGCGGTGCTGCCTGCGACAGAGCATGTGTTTGACTGAGTACTGGCGCACACTCACGTGTTTTTTCTTTTGTACATTGTACATTGGTCCGTGTGTTGATACAGTATTGCTGTCGAAGGCTAGGGCTGCAGTATTACAATAGTGTGCGCGGGTGAACGATTGCTCTCTCTCTCTCTCTCTCTCCCTCGCAGCTAAGTATTCTAGAGTCCTCCTGGAGGTAGTCGCGGCCGTTTTCAGGCGTGCCTTGCCTTGCGTATATGTAGGTTTGTGCTTCTATCTTCGTCTCTCCCCTCCTCTCCTCTCGCGCCTTTTCATTAGTTGAGCAGTTGGAAGATTTTGTTTGGGGTGAACGTTGGTGCTTGTTAATTATGTAGTAGGATGGGTTTCGGTGTGTATGTAGTTTTTTTTTTGTCGACAGCAGTGAAAAACACCAAGACGTGACGATTTTGCCGCCAGGACTGATGTGTTGCTCGTTCTGCCAAGATTGTCGCCGGTGTGTGTGTGTGTGTGTGTGTGTGTTTTTTTGTAAGACGAAAACCTAGGCGCCATGGTTTCGCTGCTTCATTTAGCTTGTAGAGTTTTTGGTGGTGAATTGCGTTGCGTCTTGTGGGAGTACATAACGCCTTCTTCGAATCGAATCAAGACATCAAGACTTCAAGACATGACGACCTACTTTACCCAGCGCCGTCTGGTCAGCTTAGCGGTGCATCATCCCATGACATCAGCATCATCCTTGCTTTCCCTTGGGGATCCTTACAGTGACAGTCGTGCCTCCGATACGAAAGGGTGCCTCGTGAGAGGGGGCTCCGATCGGTATGACAGGGTCGAGGGCCTTGGTCACACCACCCTCCTCTTATGTCGGAGCCAAGACTGCACTCGATTTGTCCCCAGCTGAAAGGGTGGCGGCGCTGAAAACAGTGGCGTTGGAACCGTCTCCTCGAGAGCTAGCTTTCCCAAAACGCCTTGTTTCATGTACGTACGCATCATCTTCGTCGTGGAGTAATGAAGCTTTGAAAAGCGACCCCCAAGGGTATGTGTTATCTTGTGTCATGTCATGTCGTGTCATGTCACCGACGGTATGTAGCTCATCACTGCTTCGCTGTGGCTTCTCTCAAAAGAACGAGAGGTAGTAGAGCGCTCCCGCCACGTCAAAAAATCGTACGCATAGGGTAGCCAGCGGCGAGCTCACAAGAAAACCCTGCGATGCAACCGAGGGCAGCTATTAATATTATGAGGAAGGCGTTTCGCAATCCCGGACAAGAAGGAAAAGCTGTCTCCCCGCATTTTAATTAGATTTGGTGGACCATCTTGGCCATGTAGCTGTCAAGACGTGCAGGTATCATCTGATGAATGAACCGCCTAATCTGGGCTAGCGGTAAAGATCGAGGTCATGTGATGGACCCCACTCCAGTATACTTCAAGTAGCATACGATGATACGAGTCCTGACGCATCATGTATCATGTTGAGTGCTGCCGTAGTGCCGGCCTGTCGTTGAGGTCAAAACTAACTCTTTGACTCATTTTGCGACGAATTAGAGTCGTTTCTTGACAAATAGTTCCCGGAGAACTAACCCGACTCAACACACGCTTTGAAACACCTGTAGTCCATCTAATTGCGTGTCATTGAGGTTGGTCAATAAGTCGAACAGTGTCTCCATCAAATGCATACGCCGAAACAGCCTCCCGAAGGAAAATACTGTCCCAGTCAAGACCGCCACATTAACAGACACTCTCTGCAAAAAAATAAACAAAACTGCTGTACACAACAACGATCCCTCCCCACCCAGTCCTAAAAATCTAAAATCAAATCCTAATCTAGACTCAAGTCGGCTAGTTCCTTCGGCACATCCCCGCTCCCGGCGTTACTATCCCATCTACCGCTACTTCTTCTCTTCTTGGGGGGAGTCTTCTCAGCAGGCTGCTTGTAGCTGGGTTTTCTCTTTTTCGCTTTGGTCGCCGCCCGTATGTTGTTAATCTTCTTGCGCTTCATGCTGGGCGCGGAGCGTGCCTCCATGGCGATGATCGTGAGAGCTTTCATCCTCAGGTCTTCCGAGGGGCAGTCGAAGAACCTCGAGCGGATGGCTGTCATGTCAAACCAAACCTGGCGGTTGTTGTCGGTGATACGGGGACGGAAGCGGCGACGGGGGTATACAGCGATCGATGCGCGATAGTTACGGTAGTGATCGATGGGAATAATGGTTTTCAAAAGACGCCAAGGGATCAAGACGGTGTGCGAGAAAAAGAGAGACAAGGGTGGGGAGAAAGGGGTAACGATTGTGGTACTTAGCTAGCGATTCACAACTGTAGAGGCACAAAATAAATGCGTGTGTGTTTACTTCATTTGACTGGTACACAATTGTCTTGTAGAAGTATTTCCTATGTCTTGTAAGTTTTTGCTCCGTCCGTGCGTGCACAAATACAAGATTGCATCCGCCAAGATCCACCAATCCACCAGGCAAGAGACAAGGCCTAATTTTAGCCTTCATAGATACTGTACCGTGTTCCGCCCTTTCCCATCCCATCCCGCACACCGCACCTCTTCCGCGAAGATGTCCCGTATGATCTCCAGCGCCGCGTCCCACTTCCCCACCACGGCGCAAATCTCGATCAGCATGTCCCACGTCTCCTGGTCCGCCCTTCGGCCCGATTTCTGAAGGTCGAAGAGGGTCGTCAGAGCCATGTTGAACTCCTTGCCCACGAGGCAGGCCTTGATGATGGACTTGTACGTCTCTAGCTCCGGCTGCAGACCGTAGTACCTTCGGAGTGTACGGTGGTTCAGTTCAACGAGCAGCGGGACCACATGCCGTCGGATGCATCGGTTGGTGGCGAGGGGGAGGGCACTCAGGACAGGAAGACATGGAAGGAGCGGGATGATAAAAACGAATGGCAGTTTCTTCCCTCAAGGGCGAGTTGCGCAGAGCCAAAATTGTTACTGGCCCCGTGTGTGAAACTAGCTGCACGTGGTGACGTCACCGTTGGAGACCTCGTGCTGTACAGCGGAACAGTTTCCGACAACGCTGAGATATCATTTCTATGCATACGTATCGCCTATGCATAACTCCAAGAGACTCAAAGAGCAAGACGTTGTCGCGTACTGTAGCACGAAAAAAGACAAACGCCGCTTCGCATCGAAGCAGTGACACCTCGCGATTTGACGACGACCTTCGGAGAAGAAGCCTGTCTCTGCCCATACCCAACGCAGACGTTGCGTCTCGTCGGAGAAAGAAGGGCGGCCTTAGCACCCTCACAGCGTCAACAACCCACTACATGGACGAGCCGCTCCGCTACTCGAGCGTGGCGATGGCCATGAGAAGCCCTTCCTACACCACGACCAAGGACTCACCCCATGAGCTTTCGTGCCGTGGACGCTGGAAGCCACTCGCCAACCTCCGCACAGGCCGCTATTGCCGCAGCAAAGCACCCCTCCGACGGCGGTACCTATGCATATCACATCATTCATAGCATTCATCATATGTATCGATCAGCGTACGTTCAGCCAGTAGATAAGTATCATCGTCAAATTCTCCCGATGTGGGTCAATCAATACGATCATGGTCTTGTCATGTCAACGTTTCAACATTTCAACGTGCATCATTCACATGCGATGAAACACATCATTTCAGTGTGGTGATCACACAAGAATGCTCCAATGTGTTTTTTCATAACCACTGGGTATACCACATTTTTTCAACTAACCACTGACCAACAAAGGGTATTCCATAAATACGTGGGTACACGCGCCAACAAAAGCGGGTACTACATAGCATTCGAACGAAGTAGTTTTATTGCATTCCGGGGGATGTGTGTTGGCAAAATGGGGTGCTCCAACAAGCTCCCCTCTTCCCAGCCTTCTTTCGGTAACCCTCGTTAACCCTAACCCTAGTTAACCCTAACCCTGTTCCGGTGGGCAACCAAAACAAACCAGTTTGAGTGTGCTGCCGAAGGACGAACGACCTGCAGTAGTTTAGAGGTCTTCATCGGGCCTCAGGCCCAGCGCCCCGCACCCAACAGAAGTAACCCCGCGTGTCTTGTGTGTTTGTGTGTTTCTTACTCTTAAGCGCCAGGGTATACACCACACCCCACTGCTGTGTCAATGCCCCGAACAACAACAGGTTTCGTCGACAACGCCTCAAGAGCAGTGAAAAGGAGCATCATATGCATAGCATCATCATCACCCTGGGACACTGAGAGTAAAATCAGGACAGGTAAAAGTTGGAACCCTCCCTATAACTCACGTATCCTTAACAAAAAGACAAAGAGCAACTCGATTTGACAAGCCTTTCAGTTATCTTCTCCTGCGTCCTACCGGTGCTCATGCCTCGACAACGCGTGGTCACGATCACCTGACCTATCAGCACAGATGCCGAACACCGTTAGCAGGATGCAGCGCACCCTCCGTACGACTCGCCGAATACGTCACGGCGCTTCGCGCTCCGTGATGTAACAGCCTGGTCCGGTCCGGCGCGCTCCGTCCCGGTTTTGTAGGGATGCGAGGTGAATGGTCAAACAACTAAGCCATGCACGACTATGAGTACCCCCCCCCCCCCCCCGCCCCCCCTGGGCGCCCAACCCAACATCGTTCCGGGGTAATCCTTCCAAAGCTTCGGGGTGTTTGTGATTGGTCTACCCAGCGGAGAGTTTGTTCGTCTCACCCCCAGCTCGTCCATCTCCGAGATAAGGTCCATCGCCTTCTCCCACTGGGCGGCGTCCTTCAACGCGTCCAGAGCGGTCTGAAACGCGGCCACGTCCGGCGTGGACCCGTCTTCCTCCATCTCATGCAACAGCTGCAACGCCCTCTCCCACCTGCCCCCCGTCGAGCACGCCTTCGGTGATGACGTCACACGCGAGAGGGGAACTTTTCAACAGCGAAGGACACCATATTCTAAAAAGGGTCTCGACACGCAGCAGCCGTGGCTCCGATATAAGATAAGAGGGTGGTGCGACAAAGGCCCTAGACCCTCTTACATCGGAGCCCCCTCTTCTACCGGAATAAAAAGGGTACCCAACTTACTGTAGAGGGTCGAGTCCGCGACAACCGATTTCGGCCCTCTGATATTGGAGTCACCCTCTTGTATTGGAGGTTCCCCCTTATATCGGACCCACGACTGCAACAATTTCAAGAGGCGTCCGCTTGAAAGAGAGGGACGGGGGGTCATGCCATACTGTATGTCGTATGGGAGTGTGAGGACGGTTTTGGCGGGGAAAGGGAACATGACGTCAACGGCGTTCCATGGTAAGTCCGTCTCGATGGCATCTCTTGCCAGTTTTCGTGTGAATGTGTTCGTTGTGAGTGACCACGTTCTCGACGCTGGAGACGAGCTTGCGATGCGTTGAACAATGACGACAACGACAACGACGACGACAACAAACGACAGCAGCGGCGGCCGCACCTGCCACAACAACGTCAACAACAAGAGCAACAATCAATCAACATCACCGCGAGGAGAAAAACCACACGTCACACCACACATCGACAGGAACAGAAAAATAGCAACATCAGCAGCAGCAGCAGCAGCTGCGGCGACAACAACCACAAAAACACGAGTAGTCAGTAGTCAGTACAACGCACCTGCATGGCGAAGCGGTAGCTGTTCTGGTCCGGCCTCAACCCCTTACTCCTCATTTCCCCGAGAAGGTTCAAAGCCTTTTCCCACTGTCCCTTCTCGCCACACTGCACGGAGGGAGCGACGTAGTGGTGATTAGACTATAGGGGGGGAGCGGGGGTCATACTGACTTCTTTGCTTTCCCTGAGGACAACGAAACCCAACACAACAACCACTGGGAGGTTGAGCACTCGGAATGCTTAAATCTGATTTTCGCGGTGCTGTCTCGTGTCTCCTGCACAGGACCCATTCACTGTTGTTATCCACGTCAGCTGCCTTAACACCTTAACCTTAACTGCGCTTGCTACGCGAGGGCACAAACTACGGTGGTCTTTCGCTCTCTCAGGCAATCAGGCAAGACAGGGCCAAGGAACCATCACACCTACTCTGCACAGCGCAGGACCGCGATGAGCGTCGCTAGAGCAATGGTTTTCAAGGCGTGCACACACCGAAAAACACGTTTTTCTTTTTGCCAGGAATGATCCCGGTCGGTTGCGAGGCTGCTGTCCTATCCATTCCTACCGAAGAGGCACGGGAAGCCGACTGCAAAAGCACAATATTTCGTGCATCGACACCAGTCGCATTATACTTGTCGCATGTCCGCCATAAATCAGCACGTGCAATCTATAACAACCGTCGCTCATCACAGAACGAAGAACCAAAGCACCAAGCTTGGCAAAATAAAGCTGAACCCAAATAGAAATCATGAAATTCTCAGCAGCAGTAAACGTCTTCTGTGGAGAAGAGAAGACATGCGATGGGATGGGCGAGAGGCTATTTATATATTCGCATACGACCCCAAGCCCTCCAAGGACTCACAGCGATGATGGCCGAATTGTAGGCCGTCTTGTCTGGCAGTAGGCCCTCGCGTGACATCTTCTCCATCAGCGACAACGCCTCCTCTGTTAACCCTGCGTCTCCACAGGCCTGGATAGCCGCGCCGTAGCATATCATGTCCGGGGCAATCCCTGTAGAGTAAAGGACGACGTTTGCCCGAAAGAAGAGATAGAGGTGGGTGGGGGGTGGGCCACGATTTTTCTGTAGTTTCCTTGTGGACGTTTGACCTTAAAAACACGCATATCTTGTCGATACGGACCACCGTTCCTAGCACCGTTCCTAGAACCGTTCCTGATCCTGCTCGACAGACCGCGAATCTTCGCACTCTCCACGGTTCTGTCATCACAGCCGCCAAACTATAAAATTCTTGCTTATCATTTTTGCATGTCTCTCCTATGCAATGTAGCACTATGGAATCCGGGAGTCTCGCTCTCGAAGTTGTGACGGGATTAAAGTCATAGTCCCGTTTGTGGCAGCTGCATAGAGTGTACTCCGTTCAAGAACATCGTTCTCTGCAACTATTACAATACTGTTGCTCGACCTTTGCCCCACAACATGCAAATGAAAGCAGGCCGACCCAACATGTGGCTTCCGATGAGCGGGCCGGCGCGTATGTAGTGGCATAGACCTAAACGCCCGGGGGAAACTCACACAACTTTCAACAGACTTGTTGACGCGCGGCTCACCGTGCACTTGGACCATCTCGTCCAGCAACTCTAACGCCTTCCTCGGCTGCCCCCCCCTCCCGCAAGCAACGATGACAGAGCTGTAAGTGAACTCGTCGAACGCAATGCCGTCCTTCTCCATCTGCTTCATCATGGACATGGCCTCCTTCCACCGCCCGGCCTTGCTGACCGCACTGATCGCACTGTTGGGGGCGGGCGGGGTGGCATCATGGTGCATGCAGCGCGCGTGAGGAAAGGAAGAGCGGCGGTTGTACAGAGTAGATGTTTTGCACGGTGTTTTGCCTACTACAGCGGTAGCATGAGAGAAAGACCAGCGAGTTCCCACAACTCAGTCAAAGAAAGAGCTTGGGATTCCTACGATGGTATGGTATCTGCAACAGCTTCGTCGCGCATACAGTGCTCCCGGAGGGACATCGAAGAAGCTCCCAAAACACACACGAAGCCTATAATAGCATCAATCAACGACCGAACTTATTTATCGTAGCGATACAACACAACGATACCACACTACCCATATTGATGTCAACGATAGGGTGAGCATGAACACGAGCGGTGGACCACGCCAAGCGATTGACTCGTCCGCAACCGACCACACCTGTTGTACATGTACACGTTCACAGGCACTCCGCGCACCCTCGCTCCGACCAGCGCTCTCGTCGCGTCCTCCCACTGGCCCCGCTGGCCAAGCTTCTTCAGGTCCGCGGCGCACGCCCTTTGGGCCTCCTCGACGGGATCCAACTCCCGCTTCCCCTGCCCCCGCCGCCCCGTAGCTTCCTCCATCCCCATGCCGGGGCCGTCCTTGTCCCACCAGCTGACGCCGCTCTCGCCCTTGCTCGTCCAGGCGTCTCCCGTCCCCCAGTCGCTCGACCGCCCTCCCGCCCCCTGTTCGCTCCTGCTCTCTGGGTCCCATGGTCGACTTGTCCCTTCGGCGGCCGCACCGCCCCCGGGGCTACCGCTGCTACCGCTGCTGCTGCCGGTGCCTCGCGCGCGGCGTCCCATGACGTTGCTTCTCCTGGGAGCGTCCGCGCTGCTAACGGTGTTGGCCTTCCAGCCTTCCAGCTGGTTCGACCCCTTGATAACGTCGCCGAAGCTGCCGCTGGCGCTGCTGCTACCGCTGCCGAAGCTGCCGCTGGCGTCGCCCTCTTTCGCCGCGAAGTCCCACGGGTCGTCCTCGAGACTCCCTCGGAGTCGCTGCTCCTGCTGGAACGGTGCCGCGGGCTTTGACGACTTGGTCCTGTCCTGGTTGTTGTTGTTGTTGTTGTTGTTGTTGTCCTCTTCGAGGAGGTCGTTCAGCCAGTCGTCCAGAGCAGCGGGGGTGTCGGCGGGATTGGACGGGGGAATTGGTACAGCGTCCCCCGTAACGGGGCGGTCTGGGACCTCGGCAGCAGAGCGGGGGCCGTCACCACCACCGCCGCCGCCTCCGGTAACGTCGTCGATCAACGATTCGAGGATGCCGCTGGCAGACGACGGACCGGCGGCGGCGGCGGCGGCGGCAGCCTTGCCGCCGGAGGAAGAAGAGACCTTAAGGTCTTCGTTGTCGAGGTCCAACAGGTCGTCCAACCAGGACTCCGACACTGCTGCTGCTCCGCTCGCGGAGGAGGGGGAGGGTGCTGGAGGCGTGCTAGTACGCGCTGCTCCTGCTGCTGCTGCCGCCGGCCGCCTGCCTGCGGGCGCCTGGTTCCCAGGTGCGGGTGCCCCGCCCGCCGCCGGGGGTGGGAGTTCGCTCAGCAAGTCGTCCAAGGAGTCGGTAATCACCGGGGAATCCAGCTTGGCAAATGGGTCGATGTCGACGTCGCTGCTCCTTGAACTCCGGGGCGCCCTGGGCGAAGAAGAAGAAGAATCGTCCACGCCAAGCAGGTCATCCAGGGCGCTGAAGCCGTCGTCGAAGCTGGCTGCTGCCGGCGCGGCCGCTTGTCCCCCCAGTTGCTGCTGCTGGGTTGCTCCAGCCTCACGCCGCAGCTGAGCGTCGAGTGCGTCAAGGTTTCCGTCCCACCCGTCATCGTCGTCGCCCACTCCCAGGCCATCGCTCCCTTCTGTCGCAGCGCTTAGGCGGCCGAGCGCGGCACGGCGGGGCGTGGTGCCCGATGATGTTGCATCTGCTGTTGCTCTTCGTGGGTTTGCATGACTGCAATAACCGCTGCGCGTTGTTGCAGCAGCAGCAGCAGCCCTTGACGGCACTTGCTGGGGAGTGGAAGCTGGTGGCGGCACGAAGCTGTTGGCCGAGGCTAGCAGGAGGGATGAGGCGGCCAGCCTCCAGAGCGTCATGCTCTCCTAGGCTTTGCTTGTTCAAACTGCAACTTGCTTGTTGGATGGTTGTGGTGGTGCAGCGACGGGCCATGATGCGGGGGGATAATGTTCGGCCCCATACCCTCTCCCCTGCTGCACTTCGCGGAGCCCCTTGGATCCTTGGATCTTGCATATCCATGTACATCTTGCTTTCCTATATCATCATAGCACGGCAACTCGGCGGTGTCTCGGCACGTGCAGACGCCATGGCCATGGCGACGGCAGGGAAACCCGGGGGGGGATTCGACGTGGACCGCGTGCTAGACTTCGAAAAGCGTAGCGGCATCAAGAATGGAGAAATCGAGAGCTTTATTACGAAAGTCGACGCGGTGAACGCCGCGATCCAAGCAATGAAGGCAAGGGAAAGTAGGCCTAGAGGCGGGGGCAGCTGCGTGAGAGGAAACGACAAGTCGCCGGGACAAAAACTTGTTGGGTTGTAATGTTGCAACCCGTTTTATGCTCGCATCATGCGAAGATTGCAGATGTGTACCATCTCACCGCATCAGATTTTGGGGCCCCGCCGTTGAAAGATTCTGCACGTCTATGCTACAATGTGCGCCGCGACAAGGGTTATCGCAGCACACGCAGCGTACAACGATCAGCCACGTAGGGGCATACGCTTGGTTCGTTTCCCCCCTTACCAACCTTCCAGTGAAGTAACGATCAGTCTGCACCTCTCGCCACACTGCCAGCCGTTGTCCGCCACTTCGTGTGTGTAATAATGTACGTTGATGATGTGCTGATTTGTGCTTCTCGACTATTCCTTGCAGGATGGCGAGCTGGATCCAGCTGATGTACACGTGGACGGTGTACCGACGATAGAAGAAGAGCGCCAGATGGTAGAAGAAAAAAGGTGCCGCTGGGGCCGGTTAATACGTTTAGCCATTTGTCATCGCGACAGATTACAAAGTCCAGTCTACACACACACTGGCTGTAGGTTCCTTGTAAAAGAACCTACAGTACCATTCATCCCCAAGTGCTGCTTCCTTATATCACATGAGGACTGGGTTGACAGACAACGCACGGGATGAAGCTCAATTTGTTCAGGGAACGCTAAGAGACGCTGAAAGCCGCATCCTTCGAGGCCGAAGTTTGCTTCTCTAGTGTACCCCCCCCCCTCATACGTAGCTCGATGGCGGGCACGGCCCTCTGCACAGGAGGAAACGGCTAGAGCTTGCGAGGAGAGAGCAGGAGAACCGAGAAAGACAGAAGAGACAAGAGAATGAAAAGTGGTGGAGGTAAGAGACGGCCAGACATATCGTTTGTCAAAGCATCCATCGCTTCACCCGTCTCTCGACAATGGATATGAGAGCGTACCGCTAGACAACACTGCTGATTGTTCTTTAAACAACAGCAGTTCCAGCCAACACCGCAGGAAGCCAACGGATCCCTGTCAGGTCTTTTCGACCTGAACTCCTCTGGAACGGTTGATCCTGTGCGTAGCTATGGAAAAACATACCAAACCAATGCCGCGAGCGCATCGAAGACGTACATGAGAACATTGAACACGGAGATCGACATGAAAAAAACACCTTCGTTCGCAACAGTGGCGCTGAGCTACTCTACGGCGAGAGGAAGCGGCGGTCTGGAGCAACGGCTGTGGAAGAGTCTAGGACGAGTGGTTGCGGCAATGCTAGAGACGGCGAGAAGACATCTCTGTCGATCAGGTCCTTGAGCGAGGTTGAAAGGCTGCGGTTGAAAGAGAGATACAGCATGGAGTACAGCAGGTACGCGTGCGCGAGGGCTAGAAAAGATGCAGCCTAAAAGTACTTGCAAACACGAGCGTGCACGCCCGGAGGCCTTCGGTACTGGTTTTCGGAAAGGGCTACCAAAGCTGACGTTCACTACCCCTCGCTTGAGGATGCTAGACCACCGTGAACCATAGGGGATCAACCTATTTTACCGTTGCAACGTTGCTGCCATCTCTCTTAAAAAGCTATTTACCGATGTCGTGCTTCATACCGCTTCCATACAGAAGTAGGAAGGCCTTAGCCGCGCCAGTAACTATACCTGCCAAACTCATGGTGGGCACCAGCGTTGTTCTTTCGCCACTAATGACGAGACATCCCCACTACTGCTGTTACTTGGTCGGAAGGTGGGACACATGGACCCCAACGGACCCAGCAACAATGGCAGAAGCAGAGGAACGCGAGGAAGAGGAAGACCGAAAGAGAAGCAAGGAGTTCGAGGAAAACAACCCGCAATTCTGCAAAGAGATGGTGGACGACATGAAGACTCGCTCGGAAGCCAGGCCAGTGTACCACGGATCGGTCGTTTTATGTACTCATTCTGCCTGCCGTACCGCGCAGAGCGTAGCGTGCCTACCGCACGTCGTGAGATCTGTTCTGGGATTGCCGAGATTGTGAGTTGTGCTACATAGATTCTTGCGTGACGCTGCCAGCTCAGCGTAGCGCTCTTCGAAGCACACCCAGAACACACGAATACTACCATATTTATCTCGGTTCCCGTCTGTGTACCGTCCGTACCTCGTCGAAATGAGCAGTGAGAAGAAGGACTCGGAAGCAACGACCGCGCGGCTCAAGGGCAACCGATTTTACAAGGCAAAGCGCTGGGAAAAGGCACTCGAGCTGTACATGACAAGCCTCAAGGCCAGGCCGTACGCCGTCAACACGCTAGCTAATGTTGCTCAGGTGGGAGATTATTCCGCCCCCTTTGTGCGTGCGGGAGGCAACATTGGGGCCAAGAGACGATTCATACTGGTTGAACTACAAGATAACAAAACAAATACCCTCAAAACTTTCATCTGGAGTGTAGCAATCCCGACCCTCGGTCTTCGTAGAATGCACCACCCTGATCGGCGGTGTAGAGAGAGCGAGGTACACCAAAAATGATCTGTCCCTGGCTCTATCACATGGGCGTACGAAGCCTGCTGTACGTCTTTGCAAAGTAGAAACGACCTGAATTGTCTCTTTTTTCTCCCATCTCGGTGCTGCTGTTGATAGCGACAACGTTGTCTTTGGCGAAACTACAAACAAAAGACACGCGCGTGCTGTGCTTCTGCAGACCTTGATCAAATTGGAGCGGTGGCTAGACGTTGTGGAGTTCTGTGATCGCGCGCTTCACGTGGACGGTACGTGTGTCAAGGCTTTTTCGCGGCGGGCATCGGCGTTCGTCAAGCTTGCCGAGGACTCTACCACTTCGGGAGTTGACGCCGCCGCTGCTCCTTCTCCGGTCTCGCCCCCTGCAGACGCGGTCGACAGCACCGTCACTCAGACGGAGGTCCTTATCGAGGGCGGCACCAGCGTTTCGATTGACGTCAGCGACTTGGCTCCGGCAGAGAACGAGAAAGAGACTGTTTCAGGGCAAGAGGGCGACGCAGAAACCAGCGGAAGGGGCGAAGAGCAAGCCTTTCGCGTACGTTTCGGGGGGAGGGAGGGACTCATGGCATTGGCGCTGCTCGACCTGCACGCGGCCGTTGCGGCGGACCCCGATAGCGAAGATATCGGGCGGCAGAGGGATAGCCTCAGCAAGGAAATTGAGGAAGAGAAGGTGTGCGTTGCGCTGGCTGCTACTTCCGTCTGTTACATACACGAAGATTTATCCGAGTACCCAATCCCGGAGTCCTGGCCCTACGCTCTTCCCATATGTACGAGGCGAGCTGGCAATGAACCGAGTGTATGACACGTATAGCAGTTGGTCTTGGGAGTTGTCACTCAATATGCAAAATACCAACCCACTGTTCGGGGCATGCATACAACCATTGAAAAGTGGCACCACCCCTCCCTCGAACACCGATGCAGGCGGAGGCGGCAGTCATGAAGATGGTGAAGGGTACCTCTGGAACTTACCCCTCTCGCAGCAGCAGCGGGGTCTCTGCCACCGAAAGACCAAACCTGGGAACGGAAGGCCTTGGCGCGTCTCCGGATGGGAACCAAGACCAGGATGTTACCGCTCAACCGCGGGATACGAGAGCTCGAACAATCGAGCGGCGTACCGAGGCTTTGTCCTGCTTGCCCCTGCCCGAACGCGAAGAGCCCACTGAGGCAGGGAAGGGCAAAACTTCTATCGACGTGAAGGCTTTGGGGGATAAGAACGATCTGCACACCGTAGACAAGATATTAGAGGAGGTACTTGGAGGTGCCGAGGTAGGCGCTAAGGGGCTGGAGGCTACGAGGCTTGAAAAGGCGACGGAGGGCGGTGAGTATAACAACCTCGCAGGTATGCGTGTGCTTTGAAAGTGCGTCTTCTCCACCGGTGCCTATTACATTGCGGCCACTGTGAGGTTTCCCAATAATTAAAGGGGCGCCGTCTTTGTAGCCACAATCGAGACGCGATCACACGTGCGGTGTGAATCTAGAGTAGAGAACGTCACAGACTTCGCAATCGGGAGAAGTGTAGAAGACTCACGCTGTGAATCTACGTGCAGACGGGGACTATCACGGAGAGAACAACCATGGGGAAAGAAGACGTACGTTGGGCTCGACACACTCTGGCATTCGATCTCTCCCTGGCCTAACGGAGATGTTGGCTGCACAGCGACTGACACCGGTCGTTTCCGTCCGCGATTGTCCCTGCCCGTCTTACCCAACTACAGCAGGCACGACTCACCAGCGACACCAACTTCTTCGCCTAGCATCCATTCTGGAGGACAACCCCACTGCGAGGGTCTACTTCAGGGCATCCGGCGGGCTTGCCCGGCTTTCCGAAGCTACTGCCGCCGCCGCCGCTGCCGCCGCTGGCGCTAGCCGCCCCCACCAAGATGTCAGCAAGACGAGCACACGCGCCAGCACTTCTTCTCCGTTGGTTCTTCCACAAGCTCGTGGTGCCGAAGGGATGTCTGTTGGTGCCGTCGAAGACGGCGGCGGCGACGGAGACGGAGACGTCCCAAGCGGAGGCGCCGATAGTGGTAAGGATCCGGTTCGGTTTGCATCGATGCTGGTGGCCGTTTCGGCGGCTATCAAGGGGGGAGAGAGGCTCACCCAGCTGGAGGTGTTCAAGTCTGGACTCCTGGGCGACCCATGTGCCGATGCAATGAGGAGGGTAGTCGAGGACGGCGCGGAGGGTATGGTCGCGACTACAGGGGTGGTAGCTGCCGCGGGAGCGGCCGCTCTGCTGATGTCTCGAGCTATCGATGACGTCTCCGTGCGCGCGTATGTTGCCAGGTAAACTTGGAGAACAGCGCTGGCGAAACGTGCTAGACGTGACTGCTCTGCTTTCTCGTACCCCCTCAATATTATGTCCACCGGCAAGAGGGACTCGGAAAGCAGCCATATATTCTGCACGTATTGAAATATTGACATACAACATCGTTCCCTGGCCACCCTGTAACTACAGGAAAACGTGCTGGAGTTCGCCGTGTGCTTCACCCCGACGGACTGCGTGTGTGGCCCATCCGATATCTGTAATACGATAGGCACCGTGACCGTACCGAAACATGACTCGACTCTCTCGTTTCCACGTACTCTTTCTGTGGTACATGCTCGCTGGATGTTTTCGTTCAGGAGAATCGATCTACTAGCAGGCCTAGTAGACATTGTCGGTGCCGGCTCCATGCCTCCGCTGGACGTCGAGGCTGCCGCCGATACCCTTCGCGCCGTCCTCATTGGTCGCACCGCTCCAATCGCTGCCAAAACGCTGAGTATCGAAGCTCCGTCCGCGACATCGGTGTCGACGGAGGCGGGGTTGATGGAACAGAAGAGGATGCTTTCGTGCCCTGCGACGGCTGTAGGAAGGGCCTTGCTTGCATGGAAGGAGGGAAGCGGTCCGATGAAGGTTACGACCGGTTGACGGAATTTGACTGTGACAGCAACACCGTTAAGCGTGACAGCATCCCCCTCGGCCCTTTCTGGCGACACGGGACAACAGTACAAACTGTTGCATTAATGAAAGTCGTGAAAATGAGAGAGAAAAAACGCCAGCAGAAGGGCGAAAAACGAACACGAGGGCTTGGTTCGTCTTTCGCTTTCAAACAAACTGTATGTATTTCCTTTCCACGACTGACGATGCCTCAAATGTTTTGGCCGTGTGAATCCATGGTTTCCTACCAGGGCGCCCCAGCGTCTACTGGTTTCGCTCTCTGCAGCGTGCTGGCAAATCTCGCCATGAACGAGAACTTCAGGGAAAGTTTCGCGAAACCCTACATATCCAAGTCAATGGGGGGCGGAGTGGATGTTGGCGGAGTTTCGACGGTGGCTGCCGTTCTAGTCCTCGTCGCCCGCGACATGAAGGTGGCTTGGTGTGGTTGCTGTCGAACATGTCGTGCGACGCCATTGTGGGCAGCGAAGGACACGCGGGGCAGTGTGTGAGGACAGGCGGGAGATTCGAGTGTATGCATCGGAAAACCAAGAACTACGAAGGAACCCTTTTGAGGAGTATTTCATAAGTCTCTTTGCCTGTTATTGTCAAGCGTGTGGATGAGATAGTTTTCAACGTTTGCTCTAGATTTGTTAGTACCGGCAACAAGTTTCGACCACGTCACCAGCACGTCAGCGTGTCTCACAAATCAATGTCCTGCGGCGAAATACCTGTGCTCCCTCTTGCGTGTCTCACACTGGGTGGGCATGGAGCAGGCCGGTCGCTCGGAGGCGAGGTCGGTGGCGCTCGCGGCGTTAGTAAACGCCTGTCTGCACAACCACAGGTAAGACCCCACGTAATGGTAGACAGAAAATGCATGATCACAACGGAGACTGTTTATGGAACATAGATAGGTGGCTCCAGAACTGAGACTCTCATCTCCTCGAAACCTCTTTGAAATCGAGCAGGAGTCCATCCACTCTCGCCAAATACACATCTCGTCAACTGCTCGATCAGTATCGACCTGCGGGTGGTGGTATGCGTAACGCCGCCAAATTTGCAATGTCTATCCTGGTCCAACGCTTTCTCACTTCATTCCTGGTATACTCGTGCGACAATTCCATTGGATACTTGTTGTAGCGTGCAGAAAGCGACGCTGGCAGCAGGAGGGTTAGCTTTTGCCCTGGCCACGCTGTCGCTAGAGGGAAAGGATCGTGTACTCCACGTGCCCCCGCTGGTGGCAGCTAGATCGGCGGGGCTGCTAGCGCGCTTGTCTCCGCTACCTGAAGCGCTCGAGGCCATGGCTCGCCCGGGTGTCGTGGACAGAATCATTCAGGTGCTTTTTACTGCGGAGGACTTAAAACCCAATGGTTGGCTACTGTAAAATGTGTATTTATGTGTTTGATGGTTGAGGGTTCGGTGCCCCTTTGTGCTCGGGAATAATATGGACGCTTGAGAATGGATGCGTCAATATCGTCTCGCGAAGATGGTTTTGTTTGTACATGCAACGGGAAAAAGAACACACGCTGTCGTCGTCGGATGCAGTGATGGTGAAATCGTTGATGGACACACATCCTTGCGTTTCAAGGAAATATGTACAGAGCGCCGGCAGACATCTTCGGGTGACAGAGTCGATTGATCGCGTAACGACAACTCCCGTGGACAAATGGAATAGTGCGTCTTGTGGTCCTCACCCACGTCTACCAGGCTACCGTACGGAGCTCAACTCTCGGAGGCGACCTCTACACAAACGCCACCCGAGCGAAACGCGTGGATGATGCGGCAGACGACCTAGCCGCAGCGGCCGAAACAGAAGCCGCGGCAACCTCAGCCGCGAACGCCGCCGAGAGAGAGAACCTTGTCCGCGTTCTGGGCTCCATCTTGCGCTCAAAGCCGCCAGTGCACACCGCTGCCTGTGACGACGCGCGGAGGCTTGGATCACCGGCACCCTCCTCTAACGTGCCCGGAGTGACGACGACCAACGATGGGAAGGACAAAATTGTCACCACAGCGAGACAGCTGAAGCTTGCCGAAGCGTTGATATCTTTCCTTCCGCCTGCTCGGGAGGATGGAACGGAGGGTGTCACTACCACATCTGTGTCGTTGAGGCCCAAGTGGCTTGCACCTCCCGCGGTGACGGGTAACGTTTGCGTCTGCCTTCTGCACCTTTTAAACGGCGAGGGTTCCGGCCACATCGCCACCCAGGTGATATTTCTTGATGGGGGGGGGGGGGGGGGGGGGTCAACCCATCTGGCAGTAGCTGGGGATTGCCGTGGCGTCGTGTGGTGTTTGCGCTCTTCGGTGCACACAAACACAAAGGCGCCCAAAGATAGTCAGTCTCCTTCAGTAAGGCTGACGTGAACGCTTGTGGGGACACGGCTTGCTTGGCAAAGCAATCAGCCGTTGAATAACATGGAACTAACATTGTTGATGGTCGCCGTCACCTCCGACAAACGTCTGTTTTACGCATAGATTGTCGACGCGGGAGGAATTCCCCGCCTCATTTCGCTCTTCGCCAACTCAGGAGGCGAGGGGGGTGCTCTATCAGCACGTACCAACGCTGCCATCTGCTTGGCAAAACTGGCACGCGATCCTATGCACAAGCAGGTGACATCAAACCCCGTCGACAGTTAATTTGCAAAATCGGTCACGACGCATCATGACCCCCGCCAGCATGTTTATAGCTGCCCAAAGACCTCTCTATCTCGTAAGACTAGAGCGTGCCAGGTCATTGGTGTTCATCTCTCCATTATATGCCTTGCGGCGGGGAACGCAAGCGGTGGAATGGGAGTATGGTTGAGCTCACAGTGAGGTGTTTCAAGGTAGCTAGACTAATGTCCCCTTTCCCCCACACACCCCTCTCTCTTGTCCCTCCTCAAACGAACGTCGATCGGTTTTCTGCCTCACTACCCCGGGCAGATGATAGCCGACCTCCGCGGCATGGAGATGCTTGTCCAGGTTGGCGCTGGATTGCCTGTATGACGAGGGAAAACGGCTGGCTACGAAGAAGAGATGATGGAAACCTGTTTGTTTGGTCGGCGCACATCACAAAACGCGACGAATAGTGCCCTCGATGGTATCGGCGCCTCTTGTCTGGTTAATAAAAGCGGCAAGATCTAGACTTCGCATCGTAGCGAGGTTTCATTGGAAGGGGGATGGCCTACACCACGGCAAGCACCGGATTTCACGCTCCGTGGGGGTTTAGACTGCTGCTGCGTGCGTGGAGTGGCCATGGATGAAGAAGATGTAGACTAGACTAGTAGTCTACGCGGTTGACATCAGCTTGCACCCTGCTTCTCGTGATACCCGGCTCCAACGGCCGGCTTTTTCCCCTTGGCCTCTTGTTCCCACAAGTGGGTGACAACACGGTTGATCACACGACCGGACTACTGTGCGTTTCGTTGTTGTGGTATACAGTTAGCGCCCGTGATTAAGAAACAGAGGCTCATTTTTTGGCGATAACAACTGTAAGAAAAATCGACTAGTCTACACCTCAGCCGTGGATCCTACACTGAACTCTATACAATGAAGTATACCTACGCTCGACGGTGGTGACGAAATAAGAAATCGAGCCTCGGTCCCAAATTGACGCTTCTTAAACGCGGGCGCTAACTGTATGTGTAGTCTACAGCAGTAGTAGTCTTTCACAGGGTTGCCGGAAAAGTGTAGCAAGTGTAGCAAAAAAAATGGTTGGTTGTAGACTAACATTGACAAGCAACGTGTCGGCAACAGGCAGTTTTTAGTCTAAAGCGACTGTTGTACATAAATCAGTACAAGGAACCAGGCTTCAAGTACACCCAGCGGTCGATCGATCGATGTGATAGAAGATTATGTGTGTATCAGCGAAGCAAGGAGAGGGAATCAAAGAGCCGAGGAGAGCAGCTACGGATGGATGGTCGTCCCATTCTCGTTTCACATGTTGCTTTTCACCCGCCACTTTGGTCTCGTCGGGGTGATACGGAATAATTCCGGGGTATCTTCAGAATAGGAACAATCAACATTGAATCTTTACCTGTACATATCATCCCTGCCATCACGCATCCATCCGCGGACCTCATCAAATACACCCATCCCGATATCACTCCTCTAGCTATCGCCACAAGACCTTTGGCTTCAGTGAATCCACCATGAAGGCCGTCATATCTGCGCTGGGGCTGCTGGCTCACTCATGCTTCACGAACGCCGTCTATGTCGCGACCATCGACATTGGTATGTCCCCTCTCATGTCTGATGATTGATACGTCACGTACGGATATGTACAGCCGACGGCAAGCAGTTGGTCCACAGACCCAAGTAAAGTTGGCGCGATTTTCTCTTACAGCAGCAAGGGCCTACCGAACGCGCTAGGCGGTAAACGTGGCCGAAGGGCGCGTACGAGACGGTTGACGCTAGATTGGACTACATGTGATGTACATCACACACTTGCAGCAAACACGAAACGTCCCGCTGCCTTCACTCTCAGATACAAGCAGCTGTAGATACATTTTTACTCCGGCACAGAAAGAATGAGAAGTTGTGCATGCTTGGTCCGTAAGGTAATATTCTACAAGCATGTGTGCGTGCTGAACGCTCTCCCTTTCTCTCTCCTGCACCTCAACTGTGGTTTGCTCTGCCGCAGCCAGCTGCGCCGACCTTCTGACGGCTGCTGACGCTCTCTCCGGAGGAGACATCGAAGCCAACATCATGGAAGCCGACATCGCTTGCGACGAATGGACGACGGTTGAAGTCGGGCAAAACAAGCTCAAGTTTGTCGGGAGCGGGGCCACTTTCACCAGCGCCCGCTTCGTCGTGGCTGCAGGCGCGGTTCTGCGCGCAGACGTGCCGCTCGTGCTCACGGGTGATCAAACACAGGTACTAATATGGTACTTGCATGTGGTTTCTTTGGCGTTTTGAGGTCGAACCAAGGCCTTTATTATTCCAGTTTCCCTCCCCCGTGCCCCGTGGTGTTTGATAGCGAAGAACACGACGGTTAGAATGTCGGATCGAAGGGTTTGGTTTCGTTTTCGGTATATATATTTATTTTCGAACAACATTCATTTTAGCTGGTTACAGAGTATGCATAGTACCCAGGTTAGTCTCTACCACACGTGTATGCAAGTCTGCTTACGGCAGTAGCCCAACCAAAAGAAGCGTAAGAAAGTTAGACTATGCTATGCATTATGCATTATGCTATATGCGTAGTGTCGGTGAAACAAACAAGCAGCCAGGTCGGAGGCGACGAACATGAGGTGGTATACGCCACACCAATTGCAGGCAGCAAACGCACGTTCATATGATACGCAAAACATTGTGGTAATATCATCATGCCCGTGGCAACCTGTCTGAGCATCCGTGATACCAAGGGGCGATCGGGTTGATCCATAACGAACCGAATGCACCCATCCCCGTTCGGTCCTGTCCGTGATACTTGTGATACTACAGAAGAGTACTCCGTCATTTGTTTCTTATCTTTTGCTTTTTGCTTTTCTTTCACGACGTCGCGGACATCCATTGTGTATGAATCCCCTGCGAAGATTACGCATTTGGCCATGACTGTGATGCATAACTGATCTACAGATCTCGTCGACAGTTAGGACAGATGACTAATTGCGCCCCGGGCCTAGTATAATAGGGTTGCAAGGAAGGATTGGTTACAATTTCTTCGATTCAATTGCATAGTTTATCGGATCTCTTGGTTGGCATTGCGTGCCGATGGGGGGGGCGGGGGGGTTGGCGATGGACCCCATTTAGAATGACCTGGAACTCCAATAATCCTCCGTATGCCCGATATTTCACCAGCGACGGTTGACTGTTGTCCGGCTGGGAGCCTTACCGTCTACCATATACATACATACACTCTTCTTCCATGTGGTGATTTTCGGGGTCGTTCCTTCCTTGTTATTTTCTTTGCTTTTAGTAGCGAAACGTGTGTAATGTATGGCACCGTTTTGCGAGAGTCGGCCTGTGACGACCATGCATGGAAGGCGTCTGTGTTCCTTGGACGGTACAGATGTTTGGAAGGTACAGACTGAGCAGAGACCGGAAGGGATTTTAATGTGAACACAACAATATCAACAATAATGTGAACCTTAAATCGATTGGCCGGGACACACATCATCGTCAGTCAGCGGAACCCAGGTGGTGCGCGGACAATGCGGGGGACGGACCAAGCCACGGTATTACCCCGAGATATGGAGTGTTTTTTCATATATCCAATATATAGTGAGTGGACACCTATCTAACATATCTACACATCTACACTGTTCTGTTGTTTCCCAGAAAACACCCCGTTGAGTCTGCGAGCCCCAACAAAAAACGGGATTGAATCGTTGAATCCTAAAACCGCACATTTCGTTGATTTTCGACGATTATTTGGCGGCCTTAAGTTTGGGATTGCACGTTATTATCCATTATGGCTTTAAGAGAGGCAAGAGAAAGGGATGAGGGCACTATCGTTCGCCAGACAAGTAGCATCATCGTGAACGGACGTGTTCTGTTGTTGTTGCCGTTGTATCATTTGTCTATTTGTTGCCGGTCATGCCATGCGTCGACCCAGGCGGTGAACGGAGGTTTGCTCAATGTGGCCGACGGGGGCAAGGCCCGGTTCCTCGACTCCGTGGCAATGAACGACGTCGGAGTCCTGTCTGTTTCGGAGGAGGCCATGGTGCACGGGGGTTGCGTCTACAACGAGGTGGGCTTACCACATTTGTCTTTGATGATAAAACATGTTTTCGTCCGTTCATCATCTCTGTCCCGACGTAAAGTTAGGGTCTATAACCATCCCGTCAATGGGAATTTAAAACCCGGAAATTCCCCCAAAGATCGCAGCAGTCAGTTGGTTTCTCAGCATGAAACCATCACCCGATGGGTGTATCTGCAGGCGGCCAGTGGTGATCATCCTCAGGGCGAGCATGCCAGTAGGTGACACCTACAACCGTGTGTACTCAATGCACCAAGGAGGGTCGTACTGTGACGTCATAGCACCCGCTTCCTGGGTTCGGGACGGGACCGATAATGTCTGGCTGGAGGAGCTCCAAATGGGGTCCACCGTTCTTTGACTGCTCGCAACAAAATGGAGAAAAGTGCTATAATACTGGTACACTAAACGAGGTAGTAGTTACGCCAACTTTAAGACCGCTCATGCTGCCGATTCCTTGTCATTCATGTTGCCAACGCCCTCACGCCCAAGGCGCCGCTAGCCACCACCATGATACCGATGTCTTATTCTCTACTCCCTGCTGCCCGCGTTGCTATCAAATACACACTGCTTCCTGAAGGGCCTCATTCGGTTCGAGGGTACTTTCTCCGCCGATGGATGCAAGACTGTCTCGTCAGACACTGCGAGCGTTATCCCGGGCGACGGTGGAGGGCTGTGGAATGGACCCGGTGGCAAGATCGTCTTCAAGGAGGCCGTGGAAATGAAGAACTGCGGCGAAAGGGTGCGTGAGATTAAGGCCGTCGTTAAGTCCTCGGACGACACCGGGCGTACTGAACTGGAAGAAGATAGAGTATGCAGCATTGCATGTAAAAAGCTTGTATAGAGTTAAAAGCATGTAAAGGGGACGAGCGTCCTGATGATGGGAACCCAAGATTCAATTGAAATGCCACGAGATTTTTCGGCGAAACCCGCCACGAGGCCGGAATCATTCGCGTGCGCTGCTCCCAATCTGTGTGAGCGGCTCCCTTGGAGATGATGATGAGAGGAAAACATACGTCTTTCGGGCTTTGTTTGATAGCGGGGCGGCTTGTCGGCCGTACGAAGAAGAAGAAGAAGTTGAAGAAGACGTCGGTGTCCTCTTCTCTCGGTACGTGTACGTTTGTTTGCAGCCTGATGAGCGGTTGCTGCAACGGTGTGGGCTGATGTGTACGGTGGACCACTAAATATCAGGGGCAACGCTTTTTCCGAGTCGCATTTGGCAAGGCGCCGCGCGTTTCAGCTTGTGGTGCCGTCGTACTATCTGCAAAATGCAGTCGTCGGATCGCCTTCCACCCGTTTCTATCAGTTACGCTCGCGCCATTGCTGCTGCTGTCGTCGGTCGCCCGTGTGCTTGTACCAAAGACCGGGCTTAGGAGCTGGAGGTCTCAAGGCCTTGACGGAGGTGCAATTTACACGGACGGAAAGGTTTCGTTCTACGAGGATGCCCAGTTCACCGACAACGAAGCAGACGTGAGAGCGTGGGAGGGTCATACACACACTGACGTCTTTTCTTTGGCCAGCTGGTTATTCGCGGTCGATGCTAAAACTAAGACACAGAGAGAGAGAGAGTGGGATGGGCTTCTTTACAGAAAGAGTAAAGAGTAAGTTTATTGCGAACGCCAAAGTTTCCCCTCTTACTGCTAGTGTACTAGGGCGGTATGTCACCCACCACGCGAACCCATCCATCCCTATAGGGCAAAACTGTCCCGTTCGTGGTGCTACAGTACTTTGGAGTGATGCTACGGTAGGGGGGTCACCTCATACATTTGACACTTTCGGGTAGGGAGACACCCCCTACGTGAACCTGTCGGCCGCGTCCTATTTCGCCGTAAGATCACAGAAACAGGACTATTTATACACACTTTCTCCAAAAAGTGTAAGATGCCGCCCTCAAAGCGCACTCCCCCTACCGTTGCATCAGTCTGTACAGCACTAGACGTTTCTGTGGTTTCAGAAGGCTAGCTAGCGTTTCTGTCATCGGGGCGGCTGGTATCCTATACTCAATACCCTGTACTTGGTTTACCAATGGAAACTCTCGGATCTTTAGCCTGAAACCCGTTCGTCACAACTTGTGATCGGGCTTTATTCTTGCATATTGTCGTTTTCGTTCGACTCCATCGAAATTGATTACTCCTGGATCTCGATACTGCATGACACGTGCAGGAAACAGTGATTTCATTTTCTACAGCAGCAGTAGTTTCCCGTCTGCTCTCGTTTTTTCATCATACTGCTGTGTTGCGGCCATCAACGTGTTGTCGCATCATCAGGAAGGGGGGGCTATCTGCATCGGGGTCGACGGCGAGCTGAAGTTCTTGAAGAAGGCGAAGGTCACCTTCACGGGAAACAACTCGGAAGGCAGCGGCGGCCACATCAACAACGATGGTACTTTGGTGCTGAGGAATACCGGCGTGTTCTCCGATGGGTATGCAGGAGGTTCCGGCGGCGCCATATACGCCGGCGATTTCTCCAGCATGCTGTGAGTGCTCATGTGTGCCTTGCCCTTGTCCTGAATGCCGTTTTTTTGTTTATTGTGATGAAGTAGGCACATAGTGCTTGCTATTCGGAGTGTGTGTGTCTAAAGTATTTATGGGAGGGTACGCCAGCACCGTGTTGAATGTTCACGTAGTACGGCTTGATGTACGCGTACAGGCTGCCTTGCTGAGAATGGATTTGATCTTACCGCTTGTCTATCTCGATAAACTTAGTCTCGATTCAATTAATTGTGGCTGCTTTTTGGTTTTCCTCTGGTGGATGATACTTGTATTATGTTGGTCGACGCAATGTGGAATGGAGTTGGGCCCGTCAGCTTTCCCCAATCTTCTCCAAGCCCCTAACAACAGGGGTAACTACTGCATCGAGAGGTCAGAATGGTTTGACAACAACCGACCGCGGCAAAATGATGAACAATTTCACCCACCCTTGACTACATTGTTGCATTGAGGTGCATCGAATCGACGGTATCAGCTCATGCTATGTTGTGGCCTGGCGGTGCTGGCTGGCGCGTTCTGCGCCCAATTTCCCCTAGTTCCTAATTTCCTCCCACCCCTCTTTTTTCGCAATATTTCCTTGCTGTGTTGTTTGCGACCGGCCATCTGCGACGACGAACGGCGGGGGCAGCTTCGTGAAGCACGTGGACTTCTTGGACAACACCGCCGGCGCCCACGGCGGAGCCATCGCCACCAGCTACCCGAACATCGACGACTTGCCGGAAGACGCGACCTACCAAGGAAACTCTCGCACCAACGTGAGCAGCAACCGTTGAACGGCGCGAGCAAGTACATGCAGGCCGATAGACTTGATGGTATTTTGCTTCTTGGCCAGGCTTGCCGTGTTCGTGTCGGAGTGCAGAACGGGCCGCCAAAGAAAATACATGGCCGTTACGAAACTGAGGCTCAAGCTTTCACGACAAACAGAAAAATTGTGGGTGTGACACACAGCTACAGCTCAGCGGGCAATCCTACGCTACAATTCCTATTCGGGAATGTAATGCATGTTCGATGTTCGATGGTGACAACCGAATATGAAACCGGGCCTTGACCTGCAAGACGGTCGAGGAAGGGTATGCTCTGTGGCGCTTGCATATTGTTTCGAGGACTGTAGTTTAAACAGGTTGACTATTCGACCAACAAATACATGGCCGGCCTTGTTTCTGGCATCGTATATCGCGTCAAATCGTTCACGTAGTTCAATATCGTTGTGTCACATATCTGTCTCTTACGTATGTGGTTCTTGTTGGCACCGTCCCATCCGTCGCGCCCAGTGTTCCCTGCATACTTTGATTGTGCCGCAAGGTTTCCTCTGCGAAGAATGCCTCCATGGCTTGGTTGCTTGATTGCATCCAAATTTGTTGTTTGAGTTCACCACGTGTGTGTATGGATGAGTGCGAGGATGGAGAACCTTTCGACGTGACTTTTCGTGACTATAAAATATATGCGCCATGTGTGATACGTGTTTTTTGTCGTGAAACATGTGTGATTTATGCTTAGCATTTCAGAAACGATCTTTTTGTTTATATACTTGTAGTCACCACGGAAGTTCTACCAACCGGATGGCGTGGGGTTGATCTGCACAGCTGTCCTGGGTATCTGGGAAGGGGGGTGGGTGGGTATTATCCATCTGTTGCGTGCCTCTGTGGTTTTGTCCCAGAGTGACTCATCCCCTCTCTTCACTCTTGCATGCTAGCAACGGTCGTCTACTCAATGGTCGTTCTCTCGCTTCTATTACAGTAGGTGGCCCGATATAGTGGCAACCTGAACAGTGGAACTGCCGATATAGTGGCATCAAAATCTCTTGCCACAATCTCAACATGTACATGAAGCCGATATATCGAATAGTGGAACTGCCCTGAAAAGTAGCACATTCTCCTCCTGCCCCTACATGTCACTGTATCGAGCCACCTACGACTGTATTCAGCGTTCTAAACCACGGTAGTTCACCAATCGGACGACGGGGCGGCGGGGGTCACGTCAGACACAAGGGGGCCAGGCACAAGGATACGGCATTGCTGTGAACTGCTCGTGAAACCTCTTCACCACAACGGCATTTGATAGCGAACTAGGTATGTTGTAGACTAAACAGTTGTTCTTGTTTGCTGGCCATTGACCTCACTCGTTTCGCACCTGCTTCCATTGCAGGCCGACAGCGACTTTGAGTGCAACAACGTCTACGTCAATGGAGATGCGGGCGGCGGCGAAGATGGCTACATTTGCATCCCTTGAGGCGCCGGCAGCAGCTACAGCATCTAGATTGATTTGCTGCAAACAGAGCGATCTCAACCACGCTGTATCATCAGCCTTCAGACGACCAGATGGTGTTGCCATGTCGTTTTTCCAAGTCTTTGTCTTTATATCTAAGTCTTTGTGTTTTGTTTTATCTCTTCCTATGGGATACGGCTTGGCATGCCAAAAAATGTTCCTCTTGTGTCTTGCGAAACGCGTTGCATGAAGACAGGCATACTCCAATGAAAAAAGCCGATCTGTCAACGCTTCGTCATCTTGAGCAACAAGGGATGCGTGCACTAAACGGAGAGAATTCCCAGGCGTTTCAAGAACAAAGCCCCGGGATCGACCAAGCAAATGGCTTCGACCTGTTGATGTTTCGGCGGCAGATTGGATTCTAATCTGTCACGTCCCGTCCGTTGCCTTCGTGTGGTGTTGTTGTTGTTGTTCTCGTGGTCATCTTCTCATTTGGGACACGTTTTGTCCTTTCTTTGAGGTAACACGTGAGTTTTTTTTTCGTGGCCCCGCCTCCTCTGCCCTACAAGTAGTAGGTGTTTTTGGCTCTGCGTGCAACATGAGAAGAAACCAGATTCTTTTTGGCCGATACATATCTGTTTGGTAACCGACGGCGACGGTGAAAAGGGCTGACGTCAATCAATCGGCAATCAGACGGTGGCCCACAAAACCTGTGGCTTGAAACTTAGTAGATGTAACGGAGTGTTCCTCTTTCTCCAACCGCCTTGGTTGTGATACATAGTTTTCTTCACTTGTTACGTACCAATATGCATGCTTTTATGAATTTGCGCAACACAATACAAGTAGACTAGGTTAGCCAAAGGTGGGCAGGGTACGTACGTACATGTTCGCGACGCACAGAAGGTTAAGTAAGCTGCTCTTTCTACCACTATATATTCACATTGTGGGGATCGCATTGTGTTGTTGTTTCGCCTGCGTTGGCAATGCGTGAGATTACAAGGGTTAACCTGGTAACGGGTTTGTCTTTAGACGGACACAGGCGCAAGCCGTAACCGCGGTGTCCCATCGGCGGTAATGATTTTTTTTTACGAACCCGGTAAAACTGTAATATGGCGGTAGTTTTCGGTGATATTGCCATGCGACGGTGTAATTGTCTTGGGGGTTTGCTGTTTTGCATTTGCCGGCGGTGGTAATGTCTTTGGAGGGGGCTGTGAATTCGGCGGTTTACTTGCGGTGGTACCGTCGACCTGGCTTGGGCGGGATTGCATGGTGGAGGCGGTGGCGGTGCAATACCGAGTAGTAGGCTCTTTTCTTGTTTGCTAGATTATTTTTGACGAAAATACCAATTGGAACATAAATACAGGTATTGCAGGTGCTTGGAGCATGTCTTTCTGAACATTAACTACAACTGTTACTGTGTCGGACCTGTCTCTGTGGTGCGGGGGTGGGTGGGGAGGCGTGTTGAGTTACACCACACGCCAGTATAATAAAAACTGTAAGTTGAACTCATTGATTGATGTTGATGATAACAATGACGCAGCACACGTTTTACGCATGCGATGATGGCCGCAAAAAAAAGCCTCTGTACATCTTCCTGACACGAAAAGTGTCTCTCTTCTTTATTCTACGGAGTACTTGTGACCACGGGAATCGACCCCGTCAAGTGTTAGACTAGTACGGTCAGAAGAAGGTACTGGGCAGAGAGGACGACACGGAAGACAACAACAACAACGCAAGGGTACACGTGAAAAACAATTCAAGACACACAGGCCTAATAATCGAAAATGGGGGTCATTTGGGGGGGGTGGGGGGTGTACTCATAGTGTGCATGCCGCAGTCGTTAGACCATTGACCTCGCATCCCTATAAAGCCTAATCGGCGAGTCGCATGAAGGGTGAGCTGCATCCTGCTAAGGGTGTTCGGCATCTTGTGCTTACTTCCTTGCGTACGGATGACAACTGCGTATGACTTAACTTATTTTCTGGTGCGTTCACTTCCAGGGACAGTTATAAGCACTGTGTAACTGCCTCGGGGATGCTTGACCATTTTAACACAACGTGGTGCGATCATCCCCCTTGCGCGGAGTGAGGTTTCTCCACCCCGCACAACATGATCTACTCGACCACCATTTATTATGGTTACCGCCAAAGAAAAAACAGAGGCAAAAAAAGAAAACGGTAACCTGGTTGCCGAGTTTACGAAGTAAATTGGCTTGTTTTACAACGTCGTTGCCAAGCGACGAAAACCCAATCCCGATGGCAAACACCGAGGGGGGGCTTGTTTTACAACGTCGTTGCCAAGCGACAAAAACCCAACCCCGATGGCAAACACCGGGGGCGGCGGCTTGTTTTTCAACGTCGTTGCCAAGCGACGAAAACCCAACCCCAATGCAAACACCGGGGGGGGCGGCTTGTTCTTCAACGTCGTTGCCAAGCGACGAAAACCCAACCCCGATGACAAACACCGGGGAAACTGGTCATTTGGGGGGGGGGGGGGGGGGCCTTAACCCCTGTTTCCCCGGGTTTTCCCCCAAAGGCTCGGCCCTTCGGGGTCATTTGGAAAGGGGGG